AACAGTGGGAGGGCTCCTAGTGTCCTGGCCCCACTGCTGGACCTCCTGATGGCACCTGGTATTTCTGGCCACTGTGTGATACAGAGTGTTGGACTGGATGGGCCTTTGGCCTGATCCAACGTTGGCGTCTCTTATGTTCTTATGTTTTTATGTTCTTATGTATGAAAGAGCCGCATGCGGCTCCCAAGCCACAGTTTGGCCACAGAGTCCACCTTCCGAAGCAGCCTTTTTCTCCAGGGAAACTGATCTCTGCAGCTTGGAGATCAGGAGTCGTTTTGCGAGACCGCCAGGCCCCACCTGGAGGCTGAAGCAACCCGAGCTGCAGTGTTAGGAGAATCTAGCAACAAATAAATATACACTGCAGAACCTTTTTAACAAACTAATGTGTTCTATTTTTAATCATCATTTAGTAAAGTGCAGAGTGTATCCTTATTTCATCCTAGTCAGGTATAAATATTCATTACATTCAATAAGCAATAACATTCAGTACGTACAGATTGCTAACTACCAGACCATTTTGCATCAGTGTTTTAAAAGTCAAGCCCCAACGGGAGTTTCCAGAACTAAAAGCCTGCTTCTCCTTGCATGAAGTCTTCCAAAAAGGGGGACAGCTTTCTTAATAGTTGTATGGATGCTTTTTTTTTTGCCGGTCCTACAAAAGACACATTATGCAGCTAACCTGGAGGCTGCCAATCCTGTCTCCCTTGCAAGTAAATACTGAGGTTGGTGTTCAGTGTATGCTATGATATTGCAGGGATCCCATATATTAGAAGAGACCTGGCAGATAACCACATTGTCCAGTTTCCCAGCACCAGTGACTCCTGAGGCCGATAACGACAGGGTCTCCTGGAGTTCCAAGAAAATGTTCAGTGTTTTACAGACATGCGAATGGGTGGTTTTGTAAATATTTGAGCTGCGGCGTTTGTTCCATTTTATTTATTTATTTTATTTATTTTTGACATTTTAACCCCGCCCTCCCCACACGCCCATAATCTTCTCGTGGCCTTTTGCCATAGCTTGTTTCCAAGACGAACCAACGTTATCACTTACGCCACCCAGCAATACCTGCAAAAAGCAGTCCCTGTCTCCCGTCAGGGCACCGGCTGTGGTGGATGACGAGCGACAGCAGCCGCTGTGGAAGAAACTCTCACCTGCAATTATTGACCGGAGACTCACTCTGGATTGGCCAAATGGCTCTGGGCAGTGCTCCAGGTAGGTCGTTTTGGGCTCTGGGCTGGATGGTCTTACAGGGAGGGGGGAGGAGTAGCGTTAGGTGTAAAGGAGGTATGTATCTGTGAGGAAATATGTGAACCTGAGCATAGAAGTCCAGTTGAGAGTCTCTGGGTAAAAACAAAAGCAGTAAGAAATTAGAGTGATATTACGGTGGTGGTGGGGGTCTGCTGTAGACCACCAAGCCAGTTAGAGGACTTGGATGAGAGACACTCCTAGAACAGATTACAAAGTTCCCAAAGAGACAGGATACGGTGGTCGTGGGAGATTTCAATTACCCGGATATCTGTTGGAAGCAATGTTCCCTCTAAGCTGTAAAGTCTTGTGAGCAAAAATTATACTTTGTGAGCTACTGGCATTAAAGTTATGAGCAAACGATTTGGCTACTGCATGAATTAGTTTGCTCTGGAGCCCTCCTTCCTGAGCTAAGACAAAAAGGTGTGAGCCAGAGGCTAAAAAACTGTGAGCTAGCTCACACTAACTCAGCTTAAGAAGAAGAAGAAAAAGAGATTGGATTTATACCCCTCCCTTCACTACCCAAAGGAGTCTCAGAGTGGCTTACAAACTCCTTTCCCTTCCCCTCCCCACAAC